ATCAGCTATCAGAAATTCCGAGAAATTTGTGTAGATTAAGCATATATATATACATAGACACTTCCATCTTTGGTGCCATGCGGTTGTCTATACTTAGATGTAGTCACGTGATCGGAGGGGTATCCTGGTCTGACGTCAAACAAGATGGGCGCCTTACCTAAAAATAGTTTGCATCATTTCTACTTTTAATCGCATGTGTAGAAAGGCAGTCGAGAAAGAGTCAGGATCCCAGTGCAGAGTTACAGATCTAAGAGCGGACCATTGCACAGCGAGGTTCAAAAGTAGTTACGTCTTCATTCACAGTTGGGTCCACCAAATCAATCTTACCCACAATTACTTGACGGAAAGATGGTAGTTTCTTTTCTGACACCATTCAATTGTACGGATCATAAACAACTTTTGGAATGAAAACCTTCGACAAGAGTTGTTTACTGTTTACTGTATAAAACGGTATACGACGCCATATTGTATTTAAAAACATGTCGCTTTATAAACATTGACTCCACGAAACAAAAAAAATTTCCCCGAGGACTATTAGATTTTTAACGAAACAAAAGTCAAAGCGTGAAGAGCTTGCCCAGTTTTAATTAATAAAATTTCTCCGTAATAAAAGTACATGTATATTGTGACCCATCAGTTTACATCTAAGACTTAATATACACATGCATAAATTGCTGCTTTTAAGGAGAAATGATTGAGAGAAACGCAAACCAAGTACCTTACCTGTTGTGAGGAAAGATACTTGGAAAAAGACATTTTATCCTACTTCATTTTTTTTCTAAGATATTATACTCTGCATACAATGATAATAGAAATGCCTGTCATTTGCTCTGTGTCCCAATTGCATCTAGATCTAAGTCTTATTTTAAGCCTAGTGGTCAACCTTCGTATATCACAAAAGGCAAGAGTAACGAATAGGCCTAATGCAAATCAAGAATTATTAATTATTGTACCGCATTAAATTGTTATTCGAGGGGAAATAAATTCTTCTAATCTAATTTCAACTAAATTATCACACGGTTATCTCTCTTAAACTTTGATCTTTCTTATAAAAAATATTAGAGCCAACCCAGGCTGAGACAGCATCCCAGTCGAAAGACTAACATTCTCCTTTGGGAATCGAACTCATCATAATTATCTTTGCACGTAACATCGAGAGCTTAATTAACGATTAGCCTACACCAAGTCATGGGGAGGGAAAGGGGG